GACAGGTCATTGAGACAGAAACTAAACAGAGAAATAATGAATCTAACAAAGGTTATGACTCCAATGGACCTAAGAGATATCAATAGAACACTTCATCTAAACACAAAGGAATATACCTTATCCTCAGCTCGTTGAACTTTTCCCATAATTGACCATATAATTAGTCACAAAGCAAGCCTTAATTCATACAGTACCATTGAAATAACCCCTTGCATTCTATCAGATCACCATGGATTAAAGCTGGAGTTCAACAACAAGAGAAACAACAAAAAGCCTACATACTTATGGAAACAGAACTGCTCACTACATAACAATCACTAGGGCAGGGAAGAAATAAATGATGAAAACACAACATACCCAAACTTATGGGACACAATGAAAGGAATGCTAAGAGCAATAATCACAGCACTAAGTATATTCATAGAGAAACTGGAGAATTCTCATACTAATGGATTAAAATATGTACCTGAAAGCTCTAGGAAGAAAAAAAAAGAAAAAAGAAGCAAGTACACCCAAGAGGACTGAAGATGTAGTTGAACTTATGGCTTAAGTAAAACAACCAGAAAGAACAAGAACACTACAAATAATTAAGAAATCCAAATCCTTGTTCTTTGAAAAAAATCAACAAGGTAGGCAAAGCATTTGAGAAACTAACTGAAAGGCAGAAAGATTTTACCCAAATTAACAAAAGTCGAAATTAAAAGGGAGACAAAGAAAAGTATACAGAGGAAGTTTAAGAATCCTTAGCATGGTACAAGAATTGGTTTTCAGCCTCTCCAAGGTTGTCAACCCTAATTCCTCCCATAATGGGACCCTTATATTAGGTCTTTTTACTTATTTCTGCTGGTCCCTGACCCTCAAATAGGCTGACTAACTCTCTGAAACAACAGATAAATAATTTGGTAGCAAAACCTATTCAGTAACATTATCATACGTTAGCAATGGAGGACCACTAGACTCAAGATGAGGTTGTTACTTTATACATGATGCTCCCAAAACTTATCTCCACCCAACCGAAAAGAGGGGACTTCTGCCCCTAGACCAAGCAGAAAGGGGCCAACCAGAACTCCCTCTGACTAGTGATCTGAATTCTTGCTTAGGCTATGAGGATAAGCACTGCAAGGGAATGTAAATTAAACTTAAAAATATGTCTCTGGGTTCTCTGAGGGAAAAGTCTGCCTGCATAGGGGTTGATGTCAAAAGTATCCCCCCTCCAGGAAAAAGACATCGGGATGGGTATGGCTCTCATGCTTCACTGGACAACAACAGGGGGACCGGAGCCATTACAAGATCCCTTTCAATTTCTGGAGGACAGACCTCTATCCCTACCTTCACAAGATTAGAATTGCCACAGCCCTTCTATACTTAGAGAAGGGAGGAGATGTCAGGGGGCAGCCCTGTTTACACACTGAAGGCCTAAAATCAGCCATAGAACTAAAATCAGCAGTAGGCCTGTCATACATGTGTACTAACACCAAGTCTTGGGTCTCTGTAAAAAAAAAAAAAAAAAACCATTGAAACAGATGGCTATAAGCTATTTTAAACAGGCAGCTTTTGTGGAAATTTACCAGCCCGAGTAGTCATAGACCTTGTAAATAGGTAGCCTTGGCAGACAATACAAACTTAGATAAGGACAAGTGAGTCATAGGCAGAGTCTTAGTGACCTGTCCCCTGAACCTTCACCCAGCCTACACCTGGTACTGAAAGATATCTGTATTCCCCCAGAACACCCACACTCCAGTCTTCCCCAAATCCTGCCTTTCTGTGTTTATAACCCCCGTGTGAATGAATTATGATTTGAGAAAAAATAAATAAATTATTAAAAAAAGAATCATTAGCACTTATTTCAAAAGCCTGTATTCCATAAAATAAGAAAATCTAAATGAAATTTACAATTCTCTAGACAGATACCAATTACCAAAGTTAAATCAAGATTAGAACTACCTACAAAGCCCAAAACCCCTAAGGAAATAAACACAAAAAGTCATTAAAATCTCCCAAACACTAAAGCCCAGGTTCAGATGATTTTAGTACAAAATTGTATCAGACATTTTAAGAAGAGCTGATACCAATAATCCTCAAACTATTTTACAAAATAGAAACAGAAGGAACATTGCAATACTCATCTTATGAGGCTACATTCATCCTGATATCTAATTCACACAAAGACTCAAAAAAAAAAAAAGAAAGAGTACTTCACATTGATTTCTCTTATAAACATTGATACAAAATACTCAATAAAATGCTTGTACCCTAACCTAATAACACTTCAAAGACATCATCCACCATGGTCAAGTAGGCTTCACCGTGGGATGAAGGGGTGGTTCAATGTATGCGAGTATATGAATGTAGTCCAGGAAATAAAGAAAATAAAATAAATTAAAAACCATGATTATATCATTAGAAGCTGAAAATGCCTTTCATAAAATCCAACATTCCTTCATGTGTAATGTCTTATAAAGATAAGGGGTACAAGGCACCTATCAAATCACAATAAAAGTAATATACAGCACAGCAATGGCTAACATCAAATTAAATGAAGAGAAACTTAAAGCAATTCCATTGAAATCAGGTAAAAGACAAGGTTGTCTACTCTCTCCCTGCCCACTGTAGTACTTGAAATTGTAGCAAGAGCAATAAGACAACAAAAGGTGATGAAGTGGTTACAAATTGGAAATGAAGAAGTCAAAGAATCACAATGTTCAGATGATATGTTATGAGCGCATATCTAAAGGATCCCTGAAATTCTACTAGAGAAGTTGTATAGGTGATAAACCTATTCACCAATGTGACTGGATACAAAATTAAGAAACAAAAATCAGTAGCCTTCATTTTACTAATGGTAAACAACCTATAAGAAAATGTTAGAGAAACAGTGCCCATCAAAAGAGCCTCAAATAATATAGAATACTTTGATGTAACTCTAACCAAGCAAGTCAAAGACCTGTATGACAAGAACCTCAAGTCTCTGTAGAAAGAAATTGGAGAGAAGATATGAGAAGTTGTGAAGGCCTAACTTGTGCAAGGATCAGTTTGACAAATAGTGTGAAAATGACTGTCTTACCAACAGCAATCTACAGATCTTATGAAACTTTCACCCAAATTTCAGTATAATAATTTACAGATCCTGATACATCTATTTTCAGATTTATAGGCAAACAACCAGCCAACTCAGGATAGCTAAGACAAACTGAACAATGAAAGAACTTGTGGAGATATCCCCATCACTGTCTTCAATCTTTACTACAGGGAAATAGTAATAAAATTTGCACGATTTTGCTGTAGAAACAGATAGGTTGATCAAGGGAACCTAATTAAGGATACTGAAATCAACCCACCCACCTACTGACACTTGATTTTTGACAAGTGAGCCATAATCACCCAATTGAAAATTGAGAGCATCTTCAACAAATTCTGCTGGTCTATTTGGCTATCTGTGTAGAAGAATGCAAATAGATCCATATCTATCATGCAGGTCAAAAGTAAAGTCCAGTTGGATCAAAGACCTCAACAGAAAACTGGATACCCTAAATTTAATAGAACACTCAATGGAGAATAGCCTTGAATTCACATGTACAGGAGAAAACCTTCTAAACAAAATGAGTCTTAGGCATTACAGGTCCCCAAACAATCAGAGCACTTGCTGTACCTTAGGTTGTTGAGGGAACTCTCTGTCTGTGGATCCTGTCCCAGTAAATGTACATCCATTTCTCACCCGAGTGGGAAACAGTTTGCATAGTACCACAGTGACTTGATGTGTATGGGTGTTTGACACCCAGGGCAGGACTTCCCTTCTTAAAACAAAAGGGGAAGGCATATTTGGAGGATTACTTGTATGAGGGGCAATGACAGAAGAGCAGGGCTGATAGTGGGTTGTAAAGGGAATGAGTAAATAAATCTGATTAAAAACAGATCAAATAATATAATAAATGGGACCTCATGAAACTGAAAAGCTTCTGTAAGTCAAAGGGCACTATTAATATGACCAAATAAGAGTCTACAGATTTGAAAAAGTTCTTCACTACAGGAGACAGAGGGTTAAACTCCAAAACACATAAGGAACTCAAGAAGTTAAGACACAAACAATCCAAATAAACCAACTAAAAAATGGATACTGACATAAACAGAAAACTCTCCTCAGAAGAATCTTGCATGGCTAGGAAGCATTCAAAGAGCTAAGACTACAGCAACCAAACAGAAACCTCATACTGTTCTCTCAGGTTTCCAAACTCTGGTATTTCTAGAACCAAATTTTAGTAGATAAGAATTGCCATGCAGAAATGGGATTGGAGGCTCTCTCTCTTTTTCTGACAAAGCATAATGAAAATGGAGAAGGGCTTTCAAGCTGAGAGACACCAAATGCAAATAAACACATACAGAGGCCCATGGGTTGGACCCATGATATGGAAGACAGACATCAATTCTATTATTATCAGGTAAAAAAATTAATAAAGTAAATTATGAATGTGTAAGATTACCTGTTATTTGTTGGTGAATGCATTTGATCCTAAAATAAAGTTGAGTATTCAGAACTTCTTGCCTGGGATTACAAACACACACAGACACACACACACACACAGAGAGAGAGAGAGAGAGAGAGAGAGAGAGAGAGAGAGAGAGAGAAAGAGAGAGAGAGAGAGAGAGAGAGAAAAGAAGGAAGAGGAGGAGGAGGAAGAGGAGGAGGAGAGAGAGGGGGCAGAGAGACAGAGAAGGGGAGAGAGGGGGAGAGAGAGATAGAGAAAGAGAGAGGGAGAGAGGGAGGGAGGGAGGGAGAGAGACAAAGAGACAGAGACAGAGACAAAGAGAGACAGAGAGTCAGAGAGATGGGGGAGAGGAAAGAGAGACCAAGAAACAGAACAAGAGCCTTGTTAAAGTGTCTACAGAAATACATGAAGGAAGTTTTTTTTTTTATTTTTATTTTGTTTTTGTAATGTATGGTATCTTCTTCAGGTATTGCAAGTCTGTAGACCTTACATTCTGGTATTCAGGTAAGATGTCTATCACCAGATTCTGTGTTTGGCACCACTTTTTTTTAGAGGTAATATCCTTAATTCAAAAAGGACATACAAAGAAATTAAGCCAAGCACACAAATAACTAAAAAAGCTATTATGTACATACTCCAATTGGAAGGAGATGAAGGCACAGGAGCTGGTACACTAGGCACAGGAGCTGGTTCACCAGGCACAGGAGCTGGTCCACTAGGCACAGGAGCTGGTACACTAGGCACAGGACCTGGTACACTTGACAGACTCGACAAGTGGACACACTTTCTGTCAACACATAGATGCTGTGGACCACAAACTGTGCCATCATTCACTGCTCCAATGTCATCTAAGGTTATCCCAAAATGATAGTCTATAGTCCAGCACGAGATATTACTGAAGTGAGTGGAATGCAATGTTTCATGGTTTCTCCTTTGGGGAAGTTGTGTCACATTCTCGCACTGAATTCGCCCACAGAGTACATCAGCATGTTCACATTCTCTGTATTCATAGGTATTAATTCCACAGTTACCAAAACGGTCACCCCGTTTGTTCATTTCCAGGTAGCAAATTCCACGTGCATTTCGACTTCCCTTGCCAAAAATCTTCTGACACTGTTCATCATGATGGAGTGGATGATAACACTCCATCTTATAGCAATAACCATCACCACTGCAAGGGCTTCCGACTTCTTTATACACATCTGTTGGACAGTCAGCTGAAGTTCCATTGCACGACTCTGGAAGGTCACACTCATTTTTCTCTTTTCTACTCACAGAGCCTGTTTGAAGGAATTGGCAAAGTTGGCAACAAAGCCCAGACGCACATCGAGCATCAGCTTTGAGAACACAGTTCTCACTACAGCATGGATCTTCTGAACAGGATTCAGAGCTCCCACAATCACACTGTTCTCCTTCCTCAACCAAGTAATTCCCACATTTGGTCAGGTTTGTTGTTACTAGTGTTTCTGGTGTTTCTGGTGTATCATTAAGCAAGTTCTTAGATAAAGAGTTGAATACAGATAATTAAAAGTACAGTTACTGAATTTGGGGTGATGTGGTCCAGTTGGGTACATTATGCATTTTTTTCTCTCCCACAATAACATTCCTCTTCATCATGCCAAATACCCAAATTGTGACCCATGTCATGTGCTACCACGTTTGCAACATATAACATCTTATCAGATATAAAACTGTTAATTGCACAGTTAGCAACTCAACAAATTCCAGCCATAAAAGCTACCCCTAATTGTTCATAACTATGTCTAACAAAAAGGTGTATGGCATCATGTCTAATTTGATTGCCAGTTGAGGCTGCCTCCCAATAGCAGAAGTCATCTTGAACTTTATGGATATTTTGATCTACATTGATAAGATTTCTTTGGCTCCAAATTTGAAGTTTGGTTAAAACCACATCAATACCTATTTGCAGATAATAACCATTTAGTGCATTGAGTATTCCCAACATATCTTGAAGACAAGTTGTGATATTGTTCTTTCTATAAACATAACGTTTATGGTCTATTACAACATAATAATCAATAAACATGTGGTGGGTCCACCAATTGTCTAGTGGTATTTTCCAAAATGTTGGGGCAACCCTTTCTTGAAACTTCATTTGCCTTGCTATTTCCTCTTCGGTTAACCTGCATCTAATGGGAATTAATTCTGACTCCTCACTGTCCATTTTGTAAGCCAGATGTTCAAATGTTGATGTTGAGCTCTTGGGCATAATTTCATAAGTTGTGCCATTTATGTCTAGTATGCCTTGCAACCTCCCAAAACAGGTGTGAACAATGACCAGGGATTCTGGGTCTTCATCCACTTAGCCATGGTAGTAGCAGTCATTCTGCACAAAAGGCTGTTCTTCAATTGGATCTCCTTTTTCACTAAAAGGAACAGGTAAAAACGGCATACATAGTAATTTGTAAATCATGGTCAAGGTAAGTTTGATGATATAACTTCAGAGTTTTTTTTCCCAATTAGGCCCTGGTTTCAGCCTTGTGGACAAACAGGAGGCTGGCTCGAATGTCTGTGGACTTTTGGGAGACCCGAAGCCTGGCTAGAGTTTTGAGACCTACTTCACTCACTTCTGTATCCAGGTGACTCAGCAAGACCTGTTTGGCCCTGCCTCTGCCCCTCCATTGCTAATGCAGAACTTTGCCATTGTCCTTGTCATTTAACCCATACTTTCTGTTAATCTTCCCTGCTTCCTATGCCATCTTGCTCCACCAAAAATCCTCCTCCCTTGGTTTGGAGTTTATATATGTGAGAGAATGAAGCAATAAAGTTGAGCTCCTATTTCAACAAGACTCCTGGCCCTGTGTGTTTCTTTTGGGCCATTTTCACTCATCATTTTGCTCAGCCCCAGAGAGAGGTGGTGGGATTGGGATTTCTCTCCTTTCACCTGGACCTGCTGGCAAGTAGCAGACAGACTGGTGCCCCATGTGAGGAACTTTTCTCCTGTCTCTTGATGCAAGAATACTGATGGGCCAATCTCTCTGCAGGTGAGTGTACTCCCATAAGATATGGGACAGTCTACATCTAAACGCTAGTATCCTTCTCCCAATCCTCCAGCTAATCCACTCCATGGTCCTCCTTCTTCTGTGCCTTCTGTTACTCTGCCTTATTCCATAGGAGGTCCTAACTCAAGAGAAACCACTCACCTCTACCCAGTCAACCTTAACCATGGGGTTACTCCCTACCACTGCAGCTCTGAGGAGTTACTTTTCACACAGGTTGAAAACAAGAAAAAAGGCAAAGGATCCTCCTTCTGCTGATAAAGCATCTGAAACAATAGTGGAACCAAGACGAGTGCTTTTGGATCATCACCCAAGGGACCTCTTTATCCTTCTTTGGAACCCTTTGGCAATGGCTGTTGGCTGGCCTCAAAGCAGGCAATAAAACTGGCCTCCCAAGACCCCTCAAAGAAATTTTCTTAGACCTCTGAAGGTCCTCTGATCCTTACAATAGGGAGGGGCTTGGGACCCAGTATACCACCAGCCTTTACCTAGTGAATATCAAACCTGTCAGTAATCAGTCAGATGCCTGGTACCCTTGGGAACCCATAGATCTTAAAGAATTGAAGAAGTTGATGAATGAGGATTGGGCTAACTCCTTCTTGGCCTAGACTATTCTTGAGGGCCTGGCCTGCCGGGCACATGTTCCTTGAGATCTGAAAGAGTTGGCTAAGGTAGTCCTCCCTGGGCCTATGTTTCTTAAGTTGATGGCATATTTATTGAGGAATGCCACACTGGTGGAAAGGACCAGAATGCCCAACTAGCCATACAAATCACCACTGGGATGCTCTTTGGTGATTTTGACCAATATTCCACAGATGCCCAACAAGCTGCTATTCTGAAGCCCTACCAGGATCAGTTCAGAGCCATTAACCTTGCTGCCTGGAGGAAACTTGATGAAGGGCCCACCGTGTTCCCAATAGGAGGGATTAATCAGAAACCTACTGACAACATTACCTTCTTCATTGACAGATTTCAAAAGAGCATTCAAAGGAAATTCCTTGTTGGTGACCTTCCTTCCATACCACCTTGTTTGCTCTCTGATCTGGATGGGATGAATGGTGATCACAAACTTTCCTGTGTATGGTTATGCAACTAGACTTATTCACAGGTGGAGCATGGCCAACAGAGATGTAGTCTCCTGTTCCTTTCAAACTAGTGCCCTGGCTGCTGTTCTAAATGTGGCCCAACAAGGAGATATGACTGTTCCTCTTAATTCCCTCCAACAGACCTTAGTCAGCAGGTTTTTATGTGGTAAAAATGACCATTTTAAAGAAGAGTGCCCTAATTTGATAAAAGCTGTCTCAGATCCTACAAACTGTTCACCAAGTATCCCTTACCCTAGGATTATTCTTTGGGCCGAGAACTGTTAATGTAAATTTATTCTCAATGGTTTGACTTTTTACTCCATGGGGTGCGGGGTGCTAACCCCAGCTCCATTAAATAAGGTGAAGCCTCCAGTTAGTGATAACTGGTCTGTGCCTCTTGTCCAGGGCTCTGCCCTAAGATGACTCTTGCCATAGTTGGGAAGACTTTCTGGTTCCTCAAAGGAACAAGTCCCCCTCTCTTGGAAGCTAGTACTTGTTGGTCTTTTACTGGGCATATGGGAGAATCAACCTCATGGGAAACCACCTCCTGGCTTTCCTTGTGGACCATGATGGCTATTACAGTGGGGCGTGCCCCTTGTAGTTGGTGGCCTTACTGCTAACCTTTTGGGCCAAGTCATTCTTGGAAAGACAAAGGCCTTTATGACTACTGGTCACAAAAATCATGATTTATGATCAGTTAGATACTAAAAAATGTGAACGGTCTTTTAAACAGGGAAAGATTGTGAGAAGTTTGCCTTTTGTACTCCTTGTGTTAATTTTTGTGCGTCTAATTTTCTCTTTAGATGATTCAAATGTTTTATTTTAGATTTATATGAGTGATATTAATTTGGGTGCTCCTAGCTTTTTGGGCCTCCAGGGTCTTACTGATAAGTGTCTCTCAATTCTTAAATGTAATAATTTGGGGGTTGCTCCTGAAAAGGTTCAAAAAGTGCTGCCATTTAAGATGCTGGGCTCCATGTTTTCCTGAGATTCTGTGTCCCCTGTTAAGCTTCAACTTCAAATTCAAGATTTCTGTACCTTTCCACAGTTACGAAAGCTTTTGAGAGAAATTACTTGGATGAGGTCTTGGATCTCCATTGTTGATGAAGATCTAACACCATTTTTTGACTTCCTTAAGGGAAAGACCTCCCTACCGCTATAGAGCTGACATCTGATCTATCCAGCTGTTGAATAAGATTAGAAAGGCAGCCTTTTGACTGTGGCAGACACATAGCTGGTCTGATTCTGTGGAGACACCTTATGCTGAGCCATCCTAGAGGAGCCACTGCACTGAGAGTAACAGGTAAGAAATCAAGGACACCCACATACATAAAAGAAACTTTGCTAAAGCTCAAAACAGACATTGTACCTCACACAGTAATTGTTGGGGATTTTAACACCCACTCTCAGCAATGGACAGATCATGGCAAAAGAAACTATACAGAGACACATTGAAATTAACAGAAGTTATGAACCAAATGCATTTAACAGATATCTATACAACATTTCATCCTAAAACAAAAGAATGTACCTTTTTCTCAGCACCTCGTGATACCTTCTCCAAAATAGACCATATAATTCGTCACAAAACAGGCCTCAACAAATACAAAAGACTGAAATAATCCCTTGCATTCTATCTGATCACCACGGACTAAGGCTGGTCTTAATAATGACAAAACCAATGAAAAACCCACATGCATGTGGAAACTGAACAACATTCTCCTCAATGATGACTTGGTCAAAGAACAAATAAAGAAAGAAATTAAAGACTTTTTAGAATTTAATGAAAATGAGGTAAAATCATACCAAAACTTGTGGGACTCCCTGAAAGCAGTGCTAGGAGGAAAACTCATAGTTATAAGTGCCTACAAAAAGAAATTGGAGGGAGCATACATTAACAACTTGACAGCACACGTGAAAGCTCTAGAACAAAAAGAAGCAGATACACCCCAATGGAGAAGACATCTGGAAATAATCAAACTCAGGGCTGAAATCAACCAAGTAGAAACAGAAATAACTATACAAAATATCAACAAAACCAGGAGCTGGTTCTTTGAGAAAATCAACAAGATAGATAAACCCTTAGCCAGATTAGCCAGAGGGCACAGAAACAGTTTCCAAATTAATGAAATCAGAACTGAAAGGGGAGTCATAACAACAGAAACTGAGGCAATTCAAAAAATCATCAGATCCTACTACAAATGTCTAAACTCAACAAAACTGAAAAATCTGGATGAAATGGACAATTTTCTAGATACCAGGTACCAAAGTTAAATCAGGAGCAAATAAACCATCTAAACAGTCCCATAACCCCTAAAGAAATAGCAGCAGTCATTAAAAGTCTCCCCACCAAAAAGAGCCCAGGACCATATGATTTAGTGCAGAATTCTATCAGACCTTCAAGGAAGACCTAATACCAATTCTCTTCAAACTATTCCATAGAATAGAAACAGCAGGAACACTACCAAATTCATTCTATGAAGCTACAATCGCACTCACACCTAAACTTTACAAAGACCCAACAAAGAAAGATATGCGGGCCATATTTCCCTTATGAATATTCGTGCAATAATATACAATAAAATTCTAGCAAACAGAATACAAGAACACATCAAAACAATCATCCACCATGATCAAGTGGGCTTAATTCCAGGAATCCAGGTGTGGTTCAATATTCGGAAATCTATCAATGTAATCCACTATATAAACAAACTCAAAGTTAAAAACTACATGATCTTCTCACTAGATGCTGAGAAAGCATTTTACAAAATTCAATATCCTCTCACGATAAAAGTCTGGGAAAGATCTGGAATTCAAGGCCCATACCTAAATATAGTAAAAGCAATACACAGCAAACCAGGAGCCAACATCAAACTAAATGGAGAGAAACTTGAAGCAATCCCACTAAGATCAGGGACTAGACAAGGCTGCCCACTCTCCCCCTACCTATTCAATATAGTACTGGAAGTCCTAGCCAGAGCAATTAGACAACAAAAAGAAGTCGAAGGGATACAAATTGGAAAGGAAGAAGTCAAAACATCACTATTTGCAAATGATATGATAATATACTAAGTGACCCCAGAACATCCACCAGAGAACTCCTAAACCTGATAAACAACTTCAAAAAAATTGGCTGATTATAAAATCAACTCAAACAAATCAGTAGCCTTCCTCTACATGAAAGATAAACAGGCTGAAAAAGAAATTAGGGAAATGACACCCTTCACAATACTCACAAATAATATAAAATACCTTGGTGTGAATCTAACCAAGCAAGTGAAAGATCTGTATGACAAGAATTTCAAGTCTCTGAAGAAAGAGACTGAAGAAAATCTCAGAGGATGGAAAGATGTCCCATGCTCATGGATTGGCACGATTAGTATAGCATAAAATGGCCATCTTGCCAAAAGCAATCTACAGATTCAATGTAATCCCCATTAAAATCCCAACTCAATTCTTCACAGAGTTAGAAAGAGAAGTTCTCAAATTCATTTGGAATAGCAAAAAACCCAGGATAGCAAAATCTATTCTCAACAATAAAAGAACTTCTGGAGATGTCACCATCCCTGACCTCAAGCTGTAGTACAGAGCAATAGTGATAAAAACTGCATGATATTGGTACAGAGACAGGCAGGAAGATCAATGGAATAGAATTGAATACCCAGAAATGAACCCCCATACCTATTGTCACTTGATCTTTGACAAAGGAGCTTATACCATCCAGTGGAAAAAAGACAGCATTTTCAACAAATAGTGCTGGTCCAACTGGAGGTCAGCATGTAGAAAAATGCAAATTGATCCATACTTATCTCCTTTTACAAAGCTCAATTCCAAGTGGATCAAGGACCTCCACCTAAAACCAGCCACACTGAAACTAATAGAAAAGGAACTGGGGAAAAGCCTGGAACACATAGGCATAGGACAAAAGTTTCTGAACAGAACATCAATGGCCTGTGCTCTAAGACCAAGAATTGACAAATGGGACCTCATAAAACTGCAAAGCTTCTGTAATGCAAAGGACACAGTCAATAGGACAAAGGGGCAACCAACAGACTGGGAAAAGATCTTCACCAACCCTACATCTGATAAAGGGTTTATATTCAAGGCATACAAAGAACGGAAGAAATTAGACTCTAGGCAATCAAAGAACCCTAATAAAAAATGGAGCACAGAGCTAAACAAAGAATTCTCAACTGAGGAAGCTCAAATGGTTGAGAAGCATCTAAAGAAGTGTTCAGCATCCCTAGTCATCAGGGAAATGCAAATGAAAACAACACTGAGATTCCACCTCACACCAGTCAGAACGGCTAAGATCAAAAAAACAGGTGACAGCACATGTTGGTGAGGATGTGGTGAAAGAGGAACACTCCTCCACTGTTGGTGGGATTGTAAACTGGTACAACCACTATGGAAGGCAGTCTGGTGGTATCTCAGAAAATTGAACATAGTGTTACCTGAGGATCCAGCTGTACCACTCCTGGGCACATACCCAAAAGACGTTTCAACATACATCAGGGACCTATGCTCCACCATGTACATAGCAGCCTTATTTATAATAGCCAGAAGATGGAAAGAACCCAGATGCCCTTCAATAGAAGAATGGATGCAGAAAATGTGGTACATTTATACAATGGAGTACTACTCAGCTATTAAAAACAATGAGTTCATGAAATTCTTAGGCAAATGGATGGAGCTGGAAAATATCATCTTGAGTGAGGTGACCCAATCTCAAAAAAACATATGTGGTATGCACTTACTGATAAGTGGATATTAGCCCAAAAGCTCTCAATTTCTAAGAAACTACGTATAGACCACATAAAACTCACATAGAAGAAGGAAGACCAAAGTGTGGGTGCTTTGGTCGTTTCTAGAAGAAGTATCAAAAGTTTCAACCAGAGCTCCCAAAGTCTAAACCGCCAGCCAGAGAGCACAATGGTAGGGACCCATGCACCTGTATAGGGAATTGAGGGTGACCTTGTTAGACTTCAGTGAAAGTGGAGGGCCATGGACCCTGAAAGTTTGGATCTCCTACTGTGTGGGAATTTGAGAGCAGGGAGATGGGACTGGGAGGATGTTTGGAGCACACCCTCACAAAAATTAGGATGAGGGGCTATGGGATAAGGGATTTTGGGGGAGAATGGGAAAGGAGATAACATTGAAAGGTAAATATGTATAGTATCCAATTAAAAAAAACACACAGATAAAGGGTCTAAAAAAAGAGAGGGAGAGAGTTTACTTATTTTAAATTATTTTCGAAAGTTTCTAGGAGTTGCTAATTGGCTAAGATCTTATTTTAAGCTCTCCACAAAAGAATTTAAGTCTCTGTTCAATATTCTCAAGAGAGAGGTAAATCCTAATTTTCCTCAAAAATTAATTGACATAAGAGAGGCAATCTCACAAAAAGTCCAGATGATATGTTATGAGCGCATTTCTGAACGATCCCTAAAATTCAACTAGAGAAGTTGTATAGGTTATAAACCTATTCACCAATGTGACTGGATACAAAATTAAGAAACAAAAATCAGTAACTTTCATTTTACTAATGGTAAACAACCTATAAGAAAATGTTAGAGAAACAGTGCCCATCAAAAGAGCCTCAAATAATATAGAATACTTTGATGTAACTCTAACCAAGCAAGTCAAAGACCTGTATGACAAGAACCTCAAGTCTCTGTAGAAAGAAATTGGAGAGAAGATATGAGAAGTTGTGAAGGCCTAACTTGTGCAAGGATCAGTTTGACAAATAGTGTGAAAATGGCTGTCTTACCAACAGAAATCTACAGATCTTATGAAACTTTCACCCAAATTTCAGTATAATAATTTACAGATCCTGATACATCTATTTTCAGATTTATAGGCAAAAAAAACAGCCAACTCAGAATAGCTAAGACAAACTGAACAATGAAAGAACTTGTGGGGGTATCCCCATCACTGACTTCAATCTTTACTACAGGGAAATAGTAATAAAATTTGCACGATTTTGCTGTAGAAACGGATAGGTTGATCAAGGGAACCTAATTAAGGATACTGAAATCAACCCACTCACCTATTGACACTTGATTTTTGACAAGTGAGCCATAATCACCCAATGGAAAATTGAGAGCATCTTCAACAAATGCTGTTGGTCTATTTGGCTATCTGTGTAGAAGAATGCAAATAGATCCATATCTATCATACAGGACAAAAGTAGAGTCCAGTTGGATCAAAGACCTCAACAGAAAACTGGGTACCCTAAATTAATTAGAACAGTCGATGGAGAAGAGCCTTGAATTCATTAGTACTGGAGACAACTTCCTAAACAAAACACTCAGGCCTTACTCGTCACCCAAACAACCATAGCAAGTGCTGTACCTGAGGTTTTTGAGGGAACTCTCTGTCTCTGGATCCTGTATCAGTAAGTGGACATCTGCTTCTGGCCTCTGGGAAAGGCTTTGCATAGTACCACAGTGACTTGATGTGTGTATGTGTGTTTCATACCCAGACTGGGTTTTCCTCTTCTCAGAACAAAAAGGGAAGACATATTTGGAGGATTTCTTGTATGAGGGGCAATGACAGAAGAGCAGGGCTGTTAATGGGTTGTAAAGGGAATAAGTAAATAAATCTGATTAAAAACAGATCAAATGATAAATAAATGGGACCTCATGAAACTGAAAAGCTCTGTAAGTCAAAGACACCATCAATATGACCAAATGAGAGTCTACATATTTGGAAAAGATCTTCAATCAACATACAGGAGACAGAGGGTTAAACTCCAAAACACATAAGGAACTCAAGAAGTTAAGACACAAACAATCCAAATAAACCAATTAAAAAATGGACTACATACCTAAACAATAAACTCTCCTCAGAGAAATCTTGAATGGCTGAGAAGCATTTAAAGAGCTAAGACTACAACAACCAAACAGAAACCTCATACTGTTCTCTCAGGTTTCCAAACTCACCCTGGTTCTTTAGAACCAAATTTTAGTAGACAGAAATTGCCATGAGGAAATTGTATTGGAGGCTCTCTCTCTTTTTCTGACAAAGCAGAATGAAAATGGAGAAAGGCTTTCAAGCTGAGAGACACCAAAGGGAAAGAAACACATACAGAGGCCCATGGGTAGGAAACATGATATGGAAGACAGACATCAATTCTATTATTATCAGGTAAAAAATTGAATAAAGGAAATTATGAATGTGTAAGATTACCTTTTATTTGTTGGTGAATGCTTTTGATCCTAAAATAAAGTTGAGTATTCAGAACATCTTGCCTGGGATTACAAACACACACAGACACACACACACACACACACACACACACACACACACACAGAGAGAGAGAGAGAGAGAGGCAGAAGAAGAAGAAGAAGGAGAAGGAGGAGGAGGAGGAGGAGGAGGAAGAGGAGAAGGAGGAGAGAGAGAGAGAGAGAGGGAGGGGGGCGGGGGGGGGGGGGGGGGCTGGGTAGGAGGGGAAGGAGGGTGGAAAGGAGGGAGGCAGGAAGGGAGAGAGAGACAGTGATAGATACAAAGAGAGACAGAGAAACAGCAAGAGACAGTGAGAGAAATAGAGAAGGGGGAGAGGAAAGAGAGACCAAGAAATAGAAAAAGAGCCTTGTTAAAATGTCTACAGAGATACATGAAGGAAGTTTTATTTTAATTTTTTATTTTGTTTTTGTAATGTGTGGTATCTTCTTCAGATATTACAAGTCTGTAGACCTTAAATTCTGTTATTCAGGTAAGATGTCTATCACCAGATTCTGTGTTTGGCACCACTTTTTTTAGAGGTAATATCCTTAATTCAAATGGGACATACAAAGAAATTAAGCCAAGCACACAAACAACTAAAAAAGCTATGAAGTACATACTCCAGTTGGAAGGAGATGAAGGCACAGGAGCTAGTCCACTAGGCACAGGAGCTGGTCCACTAGGCACAGGAGCTGTTACAACAGGCTCAGGAGCTGGTTCACTAGGTACAGGAGCTGGTACACTAGGCACAGGAGCTGGTACATTAGGCACAGGAGCTGGTACACTAGGCACAGGAAATGGTACACTTGACAGACTTGACAAGTGGACACACTTTCTGTCAATACACAAATGCTGTGGACCACAAACTGTGCCGTCGTTCACTGCTCCAATGTCATCTAAGGTTATCCCAAAATGATAGTC